GACCAGGAAAGGTGGCTGCTGTCATTGTCCTGGCGTGTGACAGTAGGCAGCCAGACCGGAGGTGTTGAGAGTGCCAAGCTCTCCTATGCCGAATCTTTCTTCTTCCTGCTGTTAGAACTCACGCTGAAGAGGAAATGAGTCAGGTCTTCTTCAGAACTCTTGCAGGTCTGTGCCTCTCCAGCCAGAGGGTCGACATAAAAGACCTGAATGATTTGCTGGATGGCAGTCATTAAGGGTCGCTTGCTTGTATTTGCAATCTGGAGTTTTTATTTTGATAAAAATTACCCAAAATTAAATAGACCCTGGAAAATATAGAAACAAATGAAAAACACTGATTTGGCAAAATATGTCTTTAAAACAGTCATCCTTTCCTTTTCCTTTTTACTTGACCTCTTCCACCCTTTGGGGGGTAAACCAAGCAAATCTTCCACTGAGAGTCAAATAAGTAAAAAACAACTGGTACATTTTACATATACATATTATATATTGTTTTACATATAATATATACTTATATATTTTGTATATTTTAATATATATACAATAAAATGATTTATATATGTATAAATATAATAAATATATATAACTTTGGTTTATTATTTTATATATGTAAAACAAACATATACAAACAGAATACACATACACATATATATATATTAATTACACACACATACACAGTTTTATTTTGTTTTTCTGTGGTTAAATACAATAGGTGATCTGTCCATTTTTTTCAAGGAGACATCCCTCCTGGAGCAGTCTGTCCTCCAATTGGAACAATCATCTAGAGAATTCCCTTCTCTTCTGTGTTGGATCCTCTATTTCTTGCATTCCTTGTCTTCCTTTTTCTTGGTTTACTTCATCTTTTGGGAAGACAACATTCTCTGGTAGCTTCCTGAGAAAAGCTAGGTGAGAGGTAAAGATTTTGAGATCTTTTCTATCTTTCCACTTGATCCTCTTGTTTTTAGAATGGTGCCTAACTTCTGAACATGGCTATATGAAGGATCCCATCTTTTTTTTTTAATCTTTTTTTAAATAAATTTATTTATTTATTTTTGGCTGCATTGGGTCTTTGTTGTTGCACGCAGGCTTTCTCTAGTTGTGGTGAGAGGGGGCTACTCTTTGTTGCGGTGCGCGGGCTTCTCATTGCAGTGGCTTCCCTTGTTGTGGAGCACGAGCTCTAGGCATGCGAGCTTCAGTAGTTGTGGCACGCAGGCTCAGTAGTTGTGGCTCACAAGCTCTAGAGCACAGGCTCAGTAGTTGTGGCACATAGGCTTAGTTGCTCCGCAGCATGTGGGATCTTCCCAGACCAGGGATCGAACCTCTGTCCCCTGCACTGGCAGGTGGATTCTTAACCACTGTGCCACCAGGGAAGTCCTCAACCCGTCATTAAAAGTAAGGTATATTTCTGTTTTTCTCCCCTCTTTGATTACAAGTGACCCTCAGGGCATTCCTTTGTTATCTCTAAACTATTGATTAAAACGTATGAACGATCCCTTCCCCACCTTAATTTTATCGATAAAGATTTTGCTTCCCTTTTTGTCTTATACTCAGGCATCTCCTTATTTATCCTAGGTTTATATCTTCTCTGTCTCTCTCTCCCTAAGAAACTGAAAGTTGATCTCTAGGGAGTGTGTGTGTGTGCGTGTGTTTAATCTCAGGTGTATAGAATTATATAACCATAATTTTTGGTTCAAGACACACTCATTCGTCCATGTGTAACCCACTATTATTTATTTATTTGGTTACTTATTTAGTAATTTTAAAAATAGTGTAAAAAGGAATTTGAAAAACCCACCACTTAAAGGTTGATCCTTGGCCGTCACCTACATCTTTCTAACCATATGGTCTCTCCTCCATAAACCTTCTCCCTGCTTTCCCCACCCAGGTAGTCATTTCCCTTAATCACATGTTCATCACATTATTTTGTTTCTCTGTTTACATAGTTTTTTTTGTATCTATATGTATGTCTTAAAAGTATGTATATTTTAGTTTTTAACTTTATGATCTGTTTTTGTTGTTGTTGTTGTTGTTGTTTTTGCGGTATGCGGGCCTCTCACTGTTGTGGCCTCTCCCGTTGCGGAGCACAGGCTCTGGACACGCAAGCTCATCAGCCATAGCTCACGGGCCTAGCCACTCCGCGGCATGTGGGATATTCCCGGACTGGGGCAGGAACCCATGTCCCCTGCATCGGCAGGTGGACTCTCAACCACTGCGCCACCAGGGAAGCCCTTTATGATCTGTTTTTAATTTTATAATCTATATATAATATTTGGGAGCTTCTTATATATTAATCATATATCTATACACTTGACTAAGGCCTCCTATTATTTCTATTAATTTGCGGAATCTTTTGTTTTTTATATAAATTACATCATTCACAAATAAATATAATTTAACTTCCTCCTTGGCAGTCCTCAGGTCTCTAATATACTTATTAATTTTTTTATTTTATTGCACTTGCTAGGAAATCTAACAGTTTTACATTTATGGATTTTCTAAAATTAAACCATCCTTGCTTACCTGGGACAAACTCAAGTTGGTTATGGAGTAACATATTTTTTAACTAATATTTTGCCTATCTTTGACCCAACACCTATTTAGAATATCGTCTTTAGGAATTTTGCAACTGTGGTCATGAGTAAAGCAGCCCTGGACTTCCCTTTCATGTAACATCTTTGTCTGGTTCTGGTATCAGTATTACTCTAACTAGGGAGTTTTACTTCTTTTTCTACTGTCTGGAAGTTTGGTAGGCTACGATCCTTGAAAGTTCAGTAGAACTTGTCTTTTAAAACCATCTGGGGCTTCCCTGGTGGCGCAGTGATTAAGAATCCACCTGCCAATGCAGGAGACACAGGTTCGAGCCCTGGTCTGGGAAGATCCCACATGCCGCGGGGCAACTAAGCCCGTGCACCACAACTACTGAGCCTGCGCTCTAGAGCCTTCGAGCCACAGCTACTGAAGCCCACAGGCCTAGAGCCCATGCTCCGCAACAAGAGAAGCCACCGCAATGAGAAGCCTGCGCACCCCAACAGAGTAAACCCCGTTCGCCGCAACTAGAGAAAACCTGCACACAGCAACAAAGACCCAACGCAGCCAAAAATAAATAAATAAGTAAATAAGTAAGTAAGTAAGTAAATAAATAAATAAAATAAAAATAAAACCATCTGGACCTGGTATTTCTTTGTGGGAAGGTTTTAATCATACTCTTTTATTTTGAAGAGAGAAATTACTTGAGTGCAAGGTTAGAGTGTAGGAGAAAGGAAGAAAAAATAGAAACAGAAGAAAGCAGCTGTCTGTTAAATAGTGTATAAAGGATTTTATTTACTATATCCATTATCTCATTTAGTCCTCAAAACACCCTTTCAGAAGGTCTGTCAGTGCTATGAGTCAAGGTCCAGTCAGGGAAAGAAAAACTGCATTAGGTATTATAAACAAAAGACATTCAGTTGTGAAAATTGGTTACTTGGGTGTTAGAAGAATAAAAGAACAAAAAAGACATGCTGAGGTAACCCAAGGTTAATATCTGCAGGAAGCAGCTACCACAAAAGACAAGTTGTGAAAATTGGTTACTTGGGTGTTAGAAGAATAAAAGAACAAAAAAGACATGCTGAGGTAACCCAAGGTTAATATCTGCAGGAAGCAGCTACCACCCCTCGGGAAGAGGTAGTATTCCCGGAACCTACAAGCTTGGAGAGGGCCCAAGGTGCTTGGAGAGGGGCTGGTGCTTGGACCTCTGAGAGTAAGCTTTGAGTAGCTGGTGCTCAGATCCCTGAGGAGGAGGCCTGGCCTGACAGGTGATTGATAGGCCCAGGCCGGGTAGCCCAGAGGATGAGTGAGCATGGCAGGGCTGGTACTCTTGACAGCCAAGGAGCCACAACCCACTGCTTCTGGTCCTTCTAAGGGAATGCATCACGGCTATTCCTGAATGCTGAAAGATGCTAGAGACTGGAATTAACTCTGTTTTCCTGTGGAGCAATGCTGATAATAGCTGGAAAATAAGAAGAAAATCCCTTTCTCTTTCTCTCTTTTTTCGTTTTTTCTTAAACCCTTCTGCCTTCCTATTGGCAGAATCAAACAAGTTTGCATGGTGTTAAGCCCTGTTGTCATAGAGCAGAGCATAAAAGGGTGGGCTTGGAGCTGAGAGACAATAGCTAAAAACCTAGAACAGTGAATACCATACATATTTACAAAGAGAAAAGTGAAGCTTAGCAAGTTTAAGTTATTCGGTGAAGATCTGGAATTTAAAGCAGGCCTGTGCTGTTTCCACCACTATCTAATCTAAAACACCATTGATTGTTAGAGGCACCATTATTGAATGTACCACTGAGAAAAAAAATTCTGCCAATTAAATAAAGCACACTATCAGTTGTAAGATACATACTAATTTCAGAGATTTTAAAAAGCTAAAAAAAAAGTGTTATCTTAAGATCAATGAAATATGGTTTATAAATAAATTGCCTTGTAAATACCTTGTAAATAAATTGTTTTTGGAGTTGTTGATTTTGAAACGTCTATGGACTATCCAAGTAAAACATTTAGTAGGCAGTTAAAAATGTGGAGTTACAGCTCATAAGAAAGATGGAGGTTAGAGATACAGAGGTGAAGGTCATCTGTGTGTCAGAATCATAATCCAGAAACAGGTTTGCTAACTGTTGTGGGTTGTTGTTTTAAGTTTTAACAGTCACTCTGAGTCTATTATTTATACCATCTCATTTTAGTCTGTTCTTTGCCTATCTCTTTATGATGGCATCTGTTGGTAAACCTTAATATTGTCTTTTATTATTCAGGAGCACTTATTTTTTTTCTTAAATTTCCACAAGCAAAGGTCATTTTCTTTTCTCTCTTCTATATAAAAACTATGTGGTCTGCCACCATGCAGTCTTCACAAGGGTGCAATTGGAAGTGCTCTTACAAGTCCAAAAGTGAAAAGTAGGTCTCCAGGGGAGGTAGATGACGTGAAGAAATCTTATCTGTAAACTTTCATGATTTCTCTATTTTTGCAGGTCCAGCATGTCTGGTTTGCACCTAGTAAAGCAAGGTCGAGACCGAAAGAAAATAGACTCACAGCGAGATTTCACCGTAGCTTCTCCAGCAGAATTTGTTACTCGTTTTGGTGGGAATAAAGTGATTGAGAAGGTAAGTTATAACCTGCTAAATTATTTCTTCAAAAGTACATGCGATTTAATGCCTGGATTTGTTGTCTAGATTTGCTCAAAACCGATATTTAAATTGAATTTCTGAGACTGCAGAATTATCCTTTCTGCCTCCCTAGCATCCTATTAAATAATTTCACTATTTTCTGTAATATGTATTTACCACTGACAATTTAGTCATAACTAAGTAAGAAGATGAGGCAGCACCCATAAAGTGCTTTTAGAAAGATCTTGCAATTTTTATGGGGTTGAGTTGCACTGATCTGACAGGGTATGAGAAATTGATTAGTTTGTGGGGTGGTGGTGAGGAGGTAACATGTCATAACACTGGGTTTAGAGCTAAGGGAATGGAGAGAGTTTCAGAACAGAAGGCTTCAACAAGTTTGATACAGTGTAACCTACTGGGTTCCGCCAGGAATTTGAGATGTTTAGACGGAATATACCACATGAAATACTTAAAGAGATTACAGGTGTTTTGAAATGTTGTGAGTTAATCTGTGTCACTTTTATCTAAACCATATTGGAGCTGAGAGAATGACTTGGTTGAAATAGCTTGCGGTGATTAAAAGATTAAAGGATGGGGACCTATATTCTCTGTCCTAAAAGTGTTGCTTTAGCGGTGCACTCCTGTTAGTCTTCCAATGAGTAGAGATTACGTGTCTCCCAACCTATGTTATCCTCAGGGTGATGATTGCAAGACAGGCAAGGACGTGAAAGGTTTGTTTAACAGAGAAGTCTCAGGATCATTGATCCTTCTACTCTTTTTCTTGTGACCGTTCTTTCTGGGGCGGTCTGTACAATTCTAAGGCATTTGAATTCAGCATTCTGGAGAGAGGTGGTGGTTAGTGTAGGAGTTCTTATACATGTTCAGGACTCTGTGCCTTGTTTCACTACAACAGAGAATAGTGCATGACACTACACTGTTGAATCTTCCTCCAACCTTATTTATATCCATCTTCCCCCTGACGTTTGTTTCTTCTATACCCTAAAAGTAGATACGGTAGAATAATTCACAAACTCATAAGATTTGAGTAACTGATTTTTCCCTTCAAGAAATGAAGTTAGAAAGGAGTAAGTTTTAGCTGGCACATATTGAAGTATTTGCTTAGCTAACATCTTAAAATATCCCTTGATCATGTGGGAGTTGGTTCCTAAATGCCTAGACCAACAATACAAATTCCTAGTTGAAACTCTCGCTTTTCAGAGGAAGATCTACACAAGTGATTTCATCTCTTTTCCTCTGTCTTTGCCTGTCTTTTCTACCTCTCTCCAATTCCCATGTTCCCACTCTACCAGGTTCTCATTGCCAACAATGGCATTGCAGCAGTGAAATGCATGCGGTCTATCCGCCGGTGGTCTTATGAGATGTTTCGAAATGAACGTGCAATCCGATTTGTTGTCATGGTCACACCTGAAGACCTGAAAGCCAATGCAGGTAAGTTATGAACATTAAGAAAGCATCATCCTCAAGCGTAAAACATTGAATGGCACAGCCTTTAAGGAGAAGAATGTTAACTCAGGAGGATTCCCAAACCCAAGGATTTCTCTTTTAAAAAGTGTCAATAGTAGGCATAGACAAGGATTGTATTATATTTAACCTCAATGTAGACACCTGTGTTCTAAGTAAAAATAGGTAGAAATTTAACCAAAGTGTCGATATGGGTTTTCAGTGTTATTTGCTAAGCCACATTCTTTAGCATGTGTCAGTAGAAACGTTTGGAAGGAAATGCTATTTACCTTATGAGTTACATTGAATTTTAGAGAATTTTAAGGTTAAGATTGTTTTTTCCCCTCCTCCTGGGAGGGGGAGACCTCTTGGGACCCAAATAGGTTTCACTCTGCAGGCTCTTTGGCATATTCTCTCTGCTTAGATGGTTTTCCATCTGAGAGAGGCAGATAAAGACTATTGGTGTAGCTGAGAGTTCGTGGCTAGTCCTTCCTCTTCATACTTCTTATCACTAAAGTATAATCTCTAAGACAGAGTACCCACAGATAACATTCGCTCTTTATTTTATTTTATTTTTAAAATTTTATTTATTTATTTTTGGCTGCATTGGGTCTTCGTTGCTGCATGCGGGCTTTCTCTAGTTGCAGCGAGCAAGGGCTACTCTTCATTGCGGTGCGTGTGCTTCTTATTGCTGTGGCTTCTCTTGTTGTGGAGCACAGGCTCTAGGCATGTGGGCTTCAGTAGTTGTGGCACGTGGGCTCAGTAATTGTGCCATGCGGGCTCAGTAGTTGTGGCTCGCAGGCTCTAGAGCGCAGGCTCAGTAGTCGTGGCACATGGGCTTATTTGCTCCATGGCATGTGGGATCTTCCGGGACCAGGGCTCGAACCCATGTCCCCCGCATTGGCAGGCAGATTCTTAACCATTGCACCACCAGGGAAATCCAATATTAGCTCTTTAAAGGGCTGTCTTTTTAAAGCTATTTTCGTCTTTATATGTACTCTCTATATTGAGACAATGATATTAAGACTATTCCTAAGGAGTAAGGGTTATTATCTTTAGAAATGAAGAAGGCACCAATTTATTGGAAAATAGATGTTATATGAAATCATTTAGATTGACCTTTCAATACCTCTCAGCTGCAGTTTCGTATATGTGAAAGGAAAATCATGTCTATTTTACTGGATAGTTGTACTGATGAAATTGTGTATAATAAATGTAAAGTACCTTGCATGATTTCTTTTTCCTTGTTTCTCCTTGGTGCTCCTATTAATTCATTTATTCATTCACTTAATGAACATGGAGACCCACAATTTAATAAGATATGATCTTGCTCTAGGAAACAAATAATTTCAATACAATGAGGTAAGTGCTATAATAGAAATATGCACAGGGTACTGTGGAACACAGAGATGAGCCATCGTAACTCTGGCCCCTGCTCTTGGGTTAAGGGTTAAGAGGGGTTAACAGGGTTAAGAGAGCTTTCTGAAATGGGTTTTACCTAGCCAAGAATGAGTAAGAGTTAGTGAAGCAATTAGGGGGAAGACAAAGGTATTACAGGCAGAAAGGACGTATATGCAAATATACGTTTGAAGGTGTGACACAGTGGTTTCTGGAAACTGCAAGTGGCTTGTTAAAGTCCAAGACATGATCTAGTATTTGTCAAGGATGGTCTTGTTTTTCATGTTAGCACCATCAACAAAGGGAAAATAATAGATAATATAGTAATAAGAGCAAGGTGGGGTTTTTTTTTTGGTGGGGAGACAGGTTTGGAGTACATGTGATACAAGAAGATTCTAGAAATCCTACAAAAAATTGAATATATCCTTCTAGAACTTAGAAATAATGAGAACTAGAGGTTAAGAGTGTACATTATCGGCAAATATGTGATAGTTAACACAACCTCCTGAAAGATCAGATAGAAAATGAAGAGAAGAGGATTAAGGATGAAATTTTATAGAAGGCTAAAATTTAGAGATAGACTCAGGAAAATAGGCCCATAAACAGTGTTGAGAAGAAATGGTCAGGGAAACAGAAGAGAAAAGCAATGAGAAAAGAGAATTTCAATAAGGAAGGCTCAAAGGTGTCAGTAGTCCAATAAAATAGGAATCAAAATCTGTCTGGCGATTAGCTAATCATTGGTAACCTTTGCAGGAATAGTTTGTGGAACAATGTGAGTATGCAGACTAATATAGGAAGATAAGGAATGAATGGGATGAGACATGGAGCCAGCCAATGTGGACAAGTTTTTTGAGAATTTTGGATGAGAAGGGAAAAAGGAAAGGCAGTAACTAAAGAGAAATTTTTATTTTTCAGAATGGAAGAGACTTAGGAATGTTTCTGAGAGGAAGGAGCCAAGGGCAGGGGTGGGGGCCGGGGGGTAGCAGTACACAAGAGAGCTAGAGGAGATGGAAGGGGATGGGATCATGAGCACCAGTGGACAAAAGAACTCATATCTTTTGACTAAGAAAGTCTATTTCCTGGGGTTTATTCTGAGGGACAAAAATCAGTAATGGGGCAAATACGTTCATACAGGGATATTCATTGCAGTGTTATTTAAAATAACAAGAAACCAGGAATAACTTGTGCCCACCATTAGTGATTAGTTACGTAAAATCTGTTGCACCAATTCTGTGAAATACCATGCACCCATTAAAAAATATTTTGTGGAGAGGAGCTTCAAGATGGTGGGAGAGTAAGATGTGGAGATCACCTTCCTCCCCACAAATACATCAAAAATCCATCTACATATGGAACAACCCCTACAGAACACCTACTGAACGCTGGCAGAAGACCTCAGACCTCCCAAAAGGCAAGAAACTCCCCACGTACTTGGGTAGGGTAAAAGAAAAAAGAATAAACAGAGACAAAAGGATAGGGACGGGACCTGCACCAGTGGGAGGGAGCTGTGAAGGAGGCAAGGTTTCCACACACTAGGAAGCCCCTTTGCAGGCAGAGACTGTGGGTGGCGGAGGGGGGAAACTTCGGAGCCACGGAGGAGAGCACAGCAACAGGGGTGCGGAGGGCACAGTGGAGAGATTCCCGCACAGAGGATCGGTGCCGACTAGCACTCACCAGCCGGAGAGGCTTGTCTGCTCACCCGCCGGGGCGGGCGGGGCTGGGAGCTGAGGCTTGGGCTTCGGTCAGATCCCAGGGAGAGGACTGGTGGCGTGAACACAGCCTTAAGGGGTTAGTGCACCACGGCTAGCCGGGAGGGAGTCCGGGAAAAGGTCTGGAACTGCCAAAGAGGCAAGAGACTTTTTCTTCCCTCTTTGTTTCCTGGTGTGCGAGGAGAGGGGATTCAGAGCACTGCTTAAAGGAGCTCCAGAGACTAGCGCGAGCCGCGCTGCCCCAGAGACGGGCATGAGACGCTAAGGCTGCTGCTGCCGCCACCAAGAAGCCTGTGTGCAAGCACAGGTCACTATCCACACTTCCCCTCCTGGGAGCCTGTGCAGCCCGCCACTGCCAGGGTCCCGTGATCCAGGGACAACTTCCCCAGGAGAACACACAGCACGCCTCAGGCTAGTTCAATGTCATGCCGGCCTCTATGATCATCTCTATAGATGCAGAAAAAGCTTTCAACAAAATTCAACACCGATTTGTGATAAAAACTCTCCAGAAAGTAGGCATAGAGAGAACTTACCTCAACATAATAAAGGCCATATATGACGAACCCACAGCCAACATCATTCTCAATGGTGAAAAACTGAAACCATATTCACTAAGATCAGGCAAAAGACAAGGTTGCCCACTCTCATCACTATTATTCAACATCGTTTTGGAAGTTTTAGCCACAGCAATCAGAGAAGAAAAAGAAATAAAAGGAATCCAAATCAGAAAAGAAGTAAAGTTGTCACTGTTTGCAGGTGACATTATGCTATACATAGAAAATGCTAAAGACTCTACCAGAAAACTACTAGAGCTAATCAATGAATTTGGTAAAATAGCAGGATGTAAAATTAATGCACAGAAATCTCTTGCATTCCTATACACTAATGATGAAAAATGGGAAAGAGAAATTAAGGAAACACTCCCATTTACCACTGCAAGAAAAAGAATAAAATAACTAGGAATAAACCTACCTAAGGAGACGAAAGGCCTGTATGCAAAAAACTGTAAGACACTGATGAAAAAATTAAAGATGATACAAACAGATGAAGAGATATACCATGTTCTTGGATTGGAAGAATCAACATTGTGAAAATGACTATACTACCCAAAGCAATCTACAGATTCAATTCAATCCCTATCAAACTACCACTGCCATTTTTCACAGAACTAGAACCAAATATTTCACAATTTGTATGAAAACACAAAAGACCCCCAAATAGCCAAAGCAATTTTGAGAAAGAAAAAGAGAGCTGGAGGAATCAGGCTCCTGGACTTCAGACTATACTACAAAGCTACAGTAATCAAGACAGTATGGTACTGGCACAAAAACAGAAATGTAGATCAATGGAACAGGATAGAAAGCCCAGAGATAAACCCATGCACATATGGTCACCTTGTCTTTGTTAAGGAGGCAAGAATATACAGTGGAGAAAAGACAGCCTCTTCAATAAGTGGTGCTGGGAAAACTGGACAGCTACATGTAAAAAAATGAAATTAGAACATGCCCTAACACCATACACAAAAATAAACTCAAAATGGATTAAAGATCTAAATGTAAGGCCAGACACTATCAAACTCTTAGAGGAAAACATAGGCAGAACACTCTGTGACATAAATCACAGCAAGATCCTTTTTGACCCAGCTCCTACAGAAATGGAAATAAAAACAAAAATAAACAAATGGGACCTAACGAAACTTCAAAGCTTTTGCACAGCAAAGGAAACCATAAACAAGACAAAAAGACAAACCTCAGAATGGGAGAAAATATTTGCAAATGACAAAGCATTAATCTCCAAAATTTACAAGCAGCTCATGCAGCTCGATATCAGAAAAACAAACAACCCAATCCAGAAATGGGCAGAAGACCTAAATAGACATTTCTCCAAAGAAGATATACAGATTGCCAACAAACACATGAAAGAATGCTCAAGGGCTTCCCTGGTGGCGCAGTGGTTGGGAGTCTGCCTGCCGATGCAGGGGATGCAGGTTCGTGCCCCGGTCTGGGAAGATCCCACATGCCGCAGAGCGGCTGGGCCCGTGAGCCATGGCCACCGGGCCTGCACATCCAGAGCCTGTGCTCCGCAACGGGAGAGGCCACAACAGTGAGAGGCCC